AAATAATAATTATAACAGCGCTGTATGTGCCGCTGCGTTCTACTTCGCGAGTACAATGTAACAGAGTATCGTATGTAACTGAGCGTGGGAGTATATTGACACGAGGCGATAACACTGTTGTGTGGATATCATGAACAGCCGAACCTAATCCTAATTACGCGTTCTCAGCTGACAGGTTTTTTAATAGGAGACAACCCGCCTTTCACATGAGCCATTGGTTGACGCATTCGAATTGAATAAGAGCGATGGGATAATTCCCAATTTCGCAAATACCAGTATATTTTCTATGCTTAGTCCCGAGCATTGTAGAATGCTCTATAATGAATTTTCTACAACAATGTATTCGACATATCAAGGTGTATGGACGGAACGGAAAGTATAGCCTTAACAATTAGATACCCCACGTAAAGCGAATATTTATAAACATCTGGGTAGCTACACAGTTCAATATAATACTGGAATTCAATGTCAACTTGGACATTTTATACAACAAGTAATTAACCGACGTTTGCGTATAGTTTTCAATGATGAAGCGAGGCGAGTGTCTAACTAAACACAAATCCAAAACTGTACAATTTTTGCTGGTATTTTTCTTCACAATCACATGTAAACCGCAAGGAATGGCTCTCCTGTGACTTGACACTTATGTCAAAAAATTTATCTGATGCATACATAGCTTTCCTTCGATCGAGATATGAATTGGCAACAAGAATAGATAACGCTCCTACCGCTACCCGAATCGTATTCGATACGCCTCTCTCTGAAGCCGATTCTACCTCGAAGACAAATGCAGGAATAAGGAACAGACCGCCCACGAAATTCATCTCGAAGGATAACCCCCTTGGTAGTAGTTACTACGTCAAAAAACATTTTCCCATCAACGGTTGTGCCTAGCTTCGCAGAAGTGCTTCAAAATCATATCTACAGGGCAGATAGCTATTGATAATTATTAGCTTTGCAAGGATTTGTAATTAGTGTTCAATGACACTGGCAGCCAAGACGGCGCATCCAGCGAGAATCGACTGAGTAAAAAATAACGCACATCAAAGTTCAAACCACAGTTTGCAATCGCGCGGTACTAAGCGGCAAACGGGTGGCGAGCTGTTGCAGCTGCACGGTTGCCCACAGAGATATACTCAACCGACAAAGTCACCATATTCACAAGCACAGATAAGTTATAACATACCTAGAATTGATGATGTATTATACCTGTGCAGCATTTAATATGAACTCATACACCAACACGCTGACGTAACTATCCTCGGTTATCGGATCAGTCCATTTGAATACCAAACCACCACAGATATGTCCACATAGCCCCATTACACAGAAATATACCGCTAATTCTAAGTTGATACGTTTTCGGGTGTTACGAGTCCTATATCCGACCATAATAATGATATATGAAGTCCAGGAAGATTTCCCCAACGACGACACAAAACACCACAACACTTCAGGTAACGCGAATAAACTTATTCATTTACACGTCACCGATGAACCATCATCTTTGGCTGGGATAAAAGGATCGTGACCACAAGGGTAAAGCTTCTATCTACTCTATTCCCATCCGTCGCGATATTGCATGATTGTGATGGCATGGCGCGCGACAGATATTCCCTACGCAGTAGGCGAGTTCCTCAAGTAGACATCGTCTAGCTTATCTGCGACAATCGGTAAGGCCGGCATGTGTTTAAAGCATCAAATATTCAGACACATCTCATGAATTAAAAATGAAAGCGGACGATTTGAGAGCTTATTTGAAAAGCAGTATTGAGACAGCATCGTAGAAAATCGCTACTAAAGCGCGAATGCCGTAGCAATCACCAAATCTCCTACACCGACAGTGATCATTAATAATGACACCCGGGCGGTTCCAAGCCGCGCCTATTGCCCCCAGATCCTGCGAAGAGTTATAGGAGCATCTTCCAGGTCACGGAGCGACCGTGCTGACTCAGCTTTTGTAGGTGGTGGAATCGATACCGTACTTGTGCACCCGCAGCCCCATGATGCGTTCGCTGATCTGCAGCGAACGCGCGGCGCGCGCCAGGTTCCCCTTGGCCCACTTGAGGGCGTCCTGGATCAGCTCGCGCTCGATGGCGTTGATGGTGCCCCGCAGGCTGCCGCCGGGCGTGGTGCCGCTCGCGTCCGCGGTCTGCAGCGTCGGCGGCAGGTGGTGGCCGTGAATCACCTCGTCGTTGCTCAGCAGTACTGCCCGCTCGATGCAGTTCTCCAGTTCGCGCACGTTTCCGGCCAGTGATAACTCATCAACATGTCGATTGCGGGCGTAGTGATGCGCTTGACGTCCTTGTGATTCTCGCGACCGTACCTGGCGACGAAGTAGTCCGCCAGCAGCAGCAGATCGGTCTTGCGCTCGCGCAGCGGTGGGATGTGGATCGGGAACACGTTGAGCCGGTAGTAGAGGTCGGCGCGGAACTCCTCCCGTTCGATCAGCTCCTCGAGGTTGCGGTTGGTGGCGGCGATGACGCGCACGTCGCTGCGTTGGGTGGTGTTGCCGCCGACGCGCTCGAACTCACCTTCCTGCAGCACGCGCAACAGCTTCACCTGGGTGGCCGGGGACAGGTCGCCGATCTCGTCCAGAAACAGCGTCCCGCCGTGGGCCAGCTCGAAGCGTCCCTTGCGCGTCGCCACGGCGCCGGTGAACGCGCCACGCTCATGCCCGAACAGCTCGCTCTCGATAACCGATTCCGGCAACGCGGCGCAGTTCACCTTGATGAACGGCTTCGTGGCGCGGGCGCTGTTGTAGTGGATCGCGTGGGCTACCAGATCCTTTCCCGTACCGGTCTCGCCGCGCAACAGGACGGTGGTATCGCTGCGAGACACCTGGGCCACCAGGCGAAACACGCTGTGCATGCCTTCCGAATTGCCAACCAGATTCTGGGGCCGGAACCGATCCTTCAGTTCCTCCCGCAGCCGGTCGTTCTCCTCCAACAGCCGGCGCCGTTCCTCCTGCGCTGCCTGCCGCAGCTTGACCGCCTGCGAGATCATGGAGGCGATGATCGAGAGCAGCCGCACGTCCTCGTCGAACTGCACCTCGGGCGGGAACAGCTTGTCGGTACCGAGCGAGCCGATTACCGAATTGCCTGACTTGATAGGCACGCAGATGAAGGAGAGCTCGGCCAGATCCGGATTGCTGGCGGCGCCGGTACGATGCACCATGGCCGGCTCGTCTGCGATCTTGGGCACGATGGCGGGGTCTCCCGACTGTACCACGCCGCCGGTAATTCCTTCGCCGATCTTGTACCAGCCACGGCGCTGCTGGCTTTCCGACAGACCGTAAGCGGCTTCGATGGAGATGCGCTCGGTGGCCCGGTTCAACAGGCTCAGTACTCCCAGGCGGATCCCCATATGCCTCCCCAGAGCCTCCAGCACCGGATGCACCACGTCGCGCAGGTTGAGGCTGGAGTCGAGGATGCGGCTGATCTCGAACAGCAGGCTGAGCTCGCTTACCTCGCTGCGGACATCAGCGGGAGAGACGGTAGAAGACATGTGCTACCGAAATGTAGCTTGATTCGATGGCGTTGACAAACGTCCCGCCAATCGGCCAACAGTCAGCGTAATGAACCCCATTGCCGAGGATCTCAACCGTACTCTCACCGACACCGCGGTCCCGCGCCTGCTGTCCGACCTCGGGCGGCGTCTGTACTTCCCACGGGGAGTCGTTGCTCAGACTGCCGAGGCGGCGCAGCACGCCCATCGCTTCAACGCCACGGTGGGCATCGCCACCGACGGTGCCACGCCGCTGTATCTCGACGGTATCCGTGCCTTGATACCGGAGCTCGACCCCGAGGCGATCTTTGCCTATGCCCCGACCGCGGGCCTGCCGGACCTGCGTCGTGCCTGGCTGCAGGAGATGCAAGACAAGAACCCGAGCCTGCAGGGGCCGGTCTCCCTGCCCCTGGTGACCAGCGGACTGACCCACGGCATCACCATTGCCGCCGACCTGCTGGTGGAGCGTGGCGACCGCGTCGTGGTGCCGGACCTGTATTGGGGCAACTACCGCCTGGTGATGGAGGAGCGGCGCCAGGCGCGGCTGGAGACCGTTCCCTTCTTCGCTCCGGAGGGAGGTCTCAATGTAGCTGCTCTCGCCGCAGCGCTCGACCGGACACCCGCCGGGGACAAGGTGGTCCTGCTCCTCAACTTCCCCAACAATCCGACCGGTTACACACCGAACGACTCCGAGATGGCGGCCCTCGCTGACGCCCTGCGGGAAACCGCCGAGCGCGGGGTGCTGCTGGTGGTGATCTGCGACGACGCCTACTTCGGCCTGTTCTACGAATCCGAGAGCTGCCATGAGTCGCTGTTCGCGCGTCTCAACCAGGCCCACGAGGGGTTGCTCGCCGTGAAGGTGGACGGCGCCACCAAGGAAAACTACGTGTGGGGCTTTCGCCTGGGATTCCTTACCCTGGCGGCGCGCGGTCTGAGTGCTGCCCACTTCACCGCGCTGGAGCAGAAGCTGATGGGGGCCGTACGGTCGTCGGTGTCCAGCTCCGGCATGTTGACGCAGAGCCTGCTGCTGCGCGGCATGCAGACCGGCACCTATCATGCCGACCGGGCCGCCAACCTGGAGGCGATCGCGGTGCGCTACCGTCGGGTGCGGGAGATTCTCGCCGCGCGCTCGGGAGCTGCCGGACCGCTGCAGCCACTACCGTTCAACTCCGGGTATTTCCTCACCCTGCGGGTGGCGGACGGCAAGGCCGAGACGCTGCGCCGGGAGCTGCTGCGGGGGCGCGGCGTAGGCACCATTTCGGTGGGCGACGACTACCTGCGGGTGGCATTTTCCACGGTGGCGCACGACGACCTGGAGGCGCTGTTTGCGGAGATCTACGCCGCGGCTCGGGAGCTTGCGGGAAGCTGAGCGGCGGGTGCGCCCGCTGCGCTGCCTCGGTGCCGCGTGGGCGCCGCTGCTGCTGCTGGCGGCGAGCGCCTGCGACCGGACGCAGCCGATCGTCGAGCTGTGGAGCGACCGCGCGGAGCTGGCCGCCTACGTCGAGACCTTCAATGCGGCGGGTGGTCCGGTCAAGGTAGAGCTGACTCATGTCGCGCAGCCGGCACAGGAGTTGCTGCGCGGCGCCGCGGCTCCCGATCTGGTGTTCGGATCCTGGCTCTCGAGTCCGGAGCTGCAGCGCCTGCTGGTACCCCTGGATCGGAATCTGCAGGACCAGGTGGCGGCCGCTTCGTTCTTTCCGGGGCTGTCGGCAGCGCACGGCGCCGGCGGTCGGCGGACTACCCTGCCGTTTGCCTTCAACCTGCCGGTGGTAGTGTTCGCCCGCGCGGCAGCGCCGCCCGGGATCGACCAGTTCGTGCTGACCGCGGAGGAACTGCGCCGCCTTGGTGAGGAGTACGTCACCGCGACGCCGGAGCGCGTCACTCACGTCGGCTTCTCACCGCTGTGGGACGTTGACCTGGTCTACTACCTCGCGCAATCCTTCGGCGCCGGTTTCGCCGCCACCGCCGACGGCCACGTGAACATCGACGCCGCCGCCGTGGCGAAAGCGGTGGCAGCCGCCCGCGACTGGATTCGCAGCAGTCACGGCGGCATCGCCAGCGACCGGGAATTCACCGCTACCTACTTTCATCGCCCTCTGTATCAGCTGGTGCTGGAAGGGCGCGTGCGCATGTATCTGAGCGATATCGCCAGCTTCGCCCTGGTCCCTGAGCCGAAGCGGGAATTGCTGGATTTTCGCTGGCTGGCACTGGATGGCGGCATTCCCGTGCTGGAAGGCTATTCGTCGTTTGCCATACCCGTAGGGGGCGGCAACGCCGCCGGAGCGCGCCTGTTCCTGAGTTGGATATTCCAGCCGGAGATCCAGGCGCGGTTGCTGGACACCGCCGCGTTCAAGCGGTTGCGCGGGTTCGGTCTGGCCGGCGGGTTTCCGGTGCTGCGCGAGGTCAGCGAACGCATCCTGCCCGCGCACCCATGGGTTCCTGATCGGGCGCCTGCCCGATGCCGACCTGCTGCGGCTGCCGGCACCGGCGCCGGTCTACTGGGGCGAGGCAAAGGAACAGGCGGTGCGACCATGGGCTGCGCGCCGCGGTCGCCGCCGGCGCTGCATCCGCCGCCCGCCAGCTCGACCTGGCGGAGGCGCTCAGCCGCTGGCGCCGCAGCGCCGACGTGCCGTAACCCGGTGTGCCGGGCGGGCAGATGCCGTTTGACACTTTGGCGCCGCTACATTACTGTGAGGCCACACTAATGGGATAGCCCGGCACGCGTCAGCGCGGCCGGGGCGAGGGGCAGGGAGATGGCAAACGTCGAGCTCAGAAACGTTACCAAGGTCTACGAGGGCGGGGTGAAGGCGGTCGATGCTGCCAACATCGCCGTAAGCGACAAGGAATTCGTGGTTCTGGTCGGACCGTCGGGGTGCGGCAAGTCGACCACGTTGCGCATGATCGCCGGACTGGAGGAGATCACCTCGGGTGAGCTGCTCATCGACGGCAAGCTCATGAACGACGTGGCGCCCAAGGACCGCGACATCGCCATGGTGTTCCAGAACTACGCGCTCTATCCGCACATGTCGGTCTACGAGAACATGGCGTTCGGTCTCAAGATCCGCAAATACGCCAAGAAGGAGATCGACGTGCGGGTCCACGAGGCAGCCGGCATCCTCGACATCGAGGAGTTGCTTGACCGCAAGCCGAAGGCCCTGTCGGGCGGCCAGCGCCAGCGCGTGGCGGTGGGGCGCGCCATCGTGCGCAAGCCGAAGGTGTTCCTGTTCGACGAGCCGCTGTCCAATCTCGATGCCAAGCTGCGCGTGCAGATGCGCGCCGAGATTTCCTCGTTGCACTCGCGCTTGCAGGCCACCATGATCTACGTCACCCATGATCAGGTCGAGGCCATGACCATGGGCGATCGCATCGTGGTCATGCGCGATGGGTTGATCCAGCAGGTCGGCACCCCATTGGGGCTCTACAACCAGCCGGTGAACCGCTTCGTCGCCGGCTTCATCGGCTCGCCGCCAATGAACATCATGAACGCCCAGGTCACCGAGTCGGACGGGCGTCTCAGCATCGACGAGGGCGACTTCCAGATCCGGCTGGACGACGGTGAGATGGCCGACACCCTGCGCTCGCACGTGGGCAAGGAGGTATTGTTCGGGATCCGGCCCGAGGACCTGGTATTCGACGAGGCTCCCGCAACGCAGAACAACATCAAGGCCCGAGTCGAGGTGATCGAGCCCCTCGGCGCCGAGATCCACTTGTATGTGAGCACCTCCAAGAATCAGCTCATCGCCCGCGTGCCGCCGCGGCTCGACTTCCAGGTGGGCGAAGAGGTTAACCTGCATCCGGATGTGAACAAGCTTCATGTGTTCGACATGGAGAGCGAGGCGGCAGTAGCCCAGCCGACCGGCGTACGCACTTAGGCGCGCGTCGCGAGTATCTTGCGTGGGGGGATCGTTTGAGGAGCGCCAAGCTCGTAACCGTAGTCCTGTTTTCTCTGGCGCTCGTTTACTGTGCGACTACGCCTGAGCCCTCCCCGGGCGAGTTGCTGGGGGCTCCGTCCGAGATCGGCGAGGCCGACCAGACGGTTGCCGTGGTCGAGGCGCTGCGGCAGGCACGGGTGCAATCGCCCGTGCCGCGGAGGCGGGCGCGGAGACCTATGACCCGTTCGTCCTGGAGGAGGCGCGCAACGCGCTGCAGGAAGCGAGCGGCTGCAGACCAGCGATCCCGAGCGTGCCGGTGCCGCGGCGACCCGCGCCCGGCTCAAGGCCGACGAGGCCTATCGGAACTCATTGGGTCTGGCACGCCAACAGCTCATTCTGACGATGGATCTCCTGGAACAGGAACTCAAGGACGATGAGGTCGATCAGTTCACTCCTGAAGAGTACGCCGACGTCCAAGCCGAGGTGGTACGCGTCAAGGGGTTGTTCGACAGCGGCCTGCTGGCCGATGGTTCCGATGCCGCCCGATGTGGTGATCCGTCAGATGCACACCTTGCGTGACACGGTCGCCGCGCAGCTCGCGCGCGTGCTTGAGCTGAAGCGCGCTACCGAAATGCTTCAGGATCAGCTGGGCACCGCGTCCGGGGCCGACACCATGCAGGTCGCCAAGTTGAACGAGCTGTATGAGAAGGGCAAGATGGCGCTTCTCGAACGCTATGCGCTGGACGATGCGGAGCGTGATTTCGGAGCGGCCCGGGAGGCAGGGCGAACGGCGCTCAGGGCGGCCGATGTCGAAATGGGCACTGAAATGACGCGTGAGCGGGTCGAAGAGTTGATGTACGCGGGTCATGAACGAGCTCGAGAGTGCCTCCTTGCTGACCATCATCACGGATGAAGAGATCGTCGTCGATCCGGTGCCGTGGGAGGGTGCCCAGTTTCTGAGCGCGGAGGAGGACGCTGCCGCGTCGCGGAGCATGGCAGACTCCGCCGTCGAGCAGGTGCCTCAGCATGCTCTGCTGCAACGGGCCAAGGCGTTGTGGCAGCGGGGCGTGGCCGAGCGCAATTCCGGCGACTATCGGCGCGCGGCGGGCTATTTCGAGCAGGCGCAGCGCTACCGCGACGCTTACGCCGCACTGGCAGTCATGACGACTTATACCGTGCGGCTGATTCCCGAGCGCCGCGAGTCTCTGTGGCGGATCGCCGAGTACGACTTCATTTACGGCAACCCGTGGCTGTGGCCCAAAATCTGGCACCGGAATCGCAAGCTGATCCAGGACCCGGATCTGATCTTTCCCGGTTGGCAGCTCTACATTCCTCCCAAGGACGTTTCGGTTGAGCCGCCGTCCGCCGAGCAATAGCCACCTCCAGCGGTAGCCTCTTGCGGGCCCGCCCATGAGCCGTCCGCTCCTGTGCCTGTGTCTGACCGCACCCACGTTGGCCGAGAACCTGGCACAGGTGCGGCGCTGCCACAATCTGGTGGATATGGTCGAGTTGCGCGTGGATCTGCTGCACCCGTCGCAGTGGCCGGGCATCGCGCGCTTTCCATTGGAGTGTCCGCTGCCGGCACTGTGTACCGTCCGCCGGCGCCCCGACGGCGGGAGTTGGCGGGCACCTGAAACGACGCGCCGGCGGCTGCTGCAGGAGGCCGCCGGCGCCGGTTACCGTTACCTGGACCTGGAGGCGGATCTCCCCACCGGCGCGGTGGCGCTGCCGCGGCGCGGCCCGCGGGTAATCCGCTCGCTGCACGATTTGAACGGAACGCCGGCCAATCTGGAAACGCTGTTGCGCGGGTTGGCGCGCAGTGCGCGGGAGATCCCCAAGCTGGCCGTCACGCCGCACGGTGTCGGCGACCTGGCGCGCATCGTAACCGCCGCCCGTGCCGTGCCGGCGCCCCGCATCGTCCTCGGCATGGGAGACTACGGCCTGCCGAGCCGGCTGTTGGCGGCGCGTGTTGGATCCTGGCTGACCTTTACCTCGGCTACTTCGGGGGGGCTGCGCATAGCGCGGCGCCGGGACAGCTCGATCCATTGACCATGGAACGCCGCTATCGGTTCCGCTCCCTAGGCGCCGATACCCCCGTGTTCGGGATCGTCGGCAATCCGGTGGCTCACTCTAGGTCGCCGGAAGTGCACAATCGGGGCTTGGCCGTGGCTGGCATTGCAGGGGTATACGTGCCGTTCCGGGTGGACGTCGTGGCGGAATTCCTGCGGCTGGCGCCGTCGTTGGGGGTCCGTGGGCTGTCGGTGACCATCCCGCACAAGGAGACGGTGATGGCTCTTCTGGCGCGGACCGACCCGTCGGTTCGCGGGGCCGGAGCGTGCAACACGCTGGTCTGGGAGCAGGGCGGGTGGACCGGGTACAACACCGACATCGCGGGTTTTCTGGCACCCCTGCAGCCGGCGCTGGCAGCCGGTCGTGTGCGGCGCGCTACGGTGGTCGGCGCCGGTGGTGGCGCCCGGGCAGTGGTGTGGGCGCTGCGCGGTGCCGGGGTGGAGGTGCTCGTCGTCAACCGCAATCTGCAGCGGGCGCAGCATCTCGCGGCCGAGATGGGTGCCGCGGCCATCGCCCTGTCCGCCGGTGATCTGGCAGCACAGGTCGCCCGCCACAGCGATCTGATCGTGCAGGCCACCAGTGTCGGGATGCATGCCGGCGCGGCAGATGCAGCGCGCGGCGCGGCCCACGATCCCATCGCCGCGGTCCCGCTCGCCGGACACGAGACCGTGTACGACATCGTCTATACACCCCCGAACACTCCCCTGATTCAGCGTGCTCGGGAGGCCGGCTGCCAGGTCGTCACCGGCGGGGAGATGCTGCTGGGCCAAGCCTACGAGCAGTTCCGTCTGTTTACCGGGATAGAATACCCCGCCAGCGAACGGGGGCACATGAGCGCCGCGCTTGGCGCCGGATAAGCGGCAGTGTTCGTGCCTGCGGCGCTTGTTGCCGCCGGCGCCGGTCGTCAAGTACCGCCGCCGCCGGGTCGATATTGAAGGATACGGAAACCATGCTGCGGCAGGGGGTGCCATATGGATTCACGAAATCGGCTCTGGTGGGTGATGGGGGGAGTCGGCCTCCTGTTGGTAGTGGTCCTGACAGGAGGACTCTACTGGTTAAGCCCGGTGGACACGACGGCCCGAACCGACCTTGCGCTTCCGCGCCCGCGGGATGGTACTGCATCGTTCGAGTACGTGGCCGGACAGTCGGTGTCCGTGCAGGGGGTGCACGGTGCCGCCGCAGGCACCCTCGAGGGCGAACGCCGGGGTACCGTCACCAGTCCAGGGGTTGACGGCGGCGCGGCGGAGGCGGCCGGGAACCCGACCGGCAGCGGGGTCCGACACCGGGACGTCGCACCTGACGATACGGCAGCCGCCCCGATGCGGCAGCCGATTCCACGGGTAACAGTGGATACTCAGGTCCCTGCCAGTCCTGCGGCGACGCCGGCCGAGCGGGCGATCCCCACCAGCGGCGCACGCACCGCCGCCGCGCCGGCCACCAGTCACAACTCGCCGGCCACGACCGGGTCATCTTCGCGCCCCGCGGCAGTGCGCGCCGCTCCACTGGCGAAACTCGCGCCCTTGGCGCCGTTGCGCGAGTTCTGGGTACAGGTCGGAAGCTTCGCCAGTCGCAGCCGGGCCAACGCTCTCGGACAGCGGCTCGGCGATCAGGGCATCGTCAGCCGCGTGACCACGCGCACGTCCAGAGCCGAGGTATTCTTCCGCGTGCGCGTCGGCCCCTACGCCAGTCGTGTGGAAGCCGAGAAGTTCCTCGCCTGGGTGCAGCAGGTCGACGGTCTGGACGGCAGTTATATCTCCGAGGTGCGCAACGCGGGCGGATAGCCGCCGGTCCGACCCGCCGTAAGCCGGAAGCGGTTCGGTGCCCGCACCTGTGGTGCGCCCCTCCGTGTGACCCAGGCGCGGGCGCTATTCCCGCATGGCGCCCGGAGGCAACCCGCCGCCGGCGCCGCGCTCCCGCCTGGGCGCACCGAGCAGACTCGCTTTCGTAATCGATGGATCGCTGCTGCCGCTGCGGAGCCGGGCCACGGTCTGCTCCACCTGCCGGATGCGTTGTGCCTGCGAATCGAACAGCTCTCCCTGAGAGTATGCGTGCCTTGCCGCCTGGGCGAAGCCGATGCCGAGCAGACGCAGCGGCCGCTGCCCGTCCCAGCGCCGATAGAGCATCTGGCGAGCCACCTGGAACGTCTCCTGGGCGGAAGCCACGGGACGGTTCAGACTGCGCCGCACCGTGCTGGTG